CAAGCGGGGAGTGAGAGCGCGAGAGGATCGAAATGCATTCGCGATCCCCCGGAGAACCATCCCAGCAAAGCTCTGCCGCAGTATACTAAATCACCATCCCCCAGTGGGTACGTCCGTATACCCCAGCGGGATGACGGGGGAATGAGTAGTGTTGGCGAACCCCGGTCATTCTTTATATTTTATTCACGTTTCATTTCATCCCCCGACTCTACGTAGCCGAAAAGAGCAGACGGGAAGCCGTAACGAGAACAACAGTGCATCATTGTGAGAGATGCAGTCTCACGTGCAGCCGGAGATACGTACTTGCGATGATGTACCGCCACGACGATCTTTGCATTCTCGTTGTTTTCGAAAGAATAATAATCGGTCGGAATATTGATAACTTTCTTTCTTAAATTTTTTGAAATATGGTATAGTAATAGTGGTACTTTTGAAAGAATTAATTTACGTAATCATTGTGACAGCTTTAAATTAATTTTTACATCTAATGTATAATTAAAATATATATTATCGAGAATTATATAGTATAAGTATAAAAAATAATTATATATAAGCATATTAAATGTAGAATTTTTAAACAAATATACAATACAATTTTTTAAATACTGTGAATAATTAAGTAAAAGAGAGCAAGTTTTTAGATGATTTGTAATTAAGATGGAAAAGCTTATAGTTGCTGTATTTTATTTCAGCTTATAATTTATTAATTATATGATATTTATACAATTGATATTTATATAATTATAGAAATCTTAGATAAGTAACCGAAATTGATGCTTTAGATTACAGTCTTAAATTCAGAAAGAATCTGAAGAATTTAAAGTTACAGGTAATATATAAACTCAAAGAAAAAAGGTAAGATTTAAAATATCGTATAAAACTTCTTGCGAGATTTATCTCAAAGAAGATATTAAAAGACGGAAAACGCGGAACAACGCGCGCTAGTTTGACCAAAGAAATATCACATACGGTTTCACCGCACGTACAAAATATCTGCATTCTTCTTTTATAACATTACGTCATAAAGTCAGCTACGTAAAGACAGCGAATCGAAAGCTTCCTTCTATTTGAAATGTTGCAACAAGTCGGAAACTCGTTCGTGTCGTCCTTTCAACAGTTTTATTTCACCGAAATGATGTATCATTTTTATTGCCGGTCTTAGTGGCAGTTTTAAGCAGTGTAGCACCGCGAAAAGTTAGAACATACGTCACAGAGAGAAATGTTTATGTTTCTGCTTTTGTATTAACAGACAAATAAAAAGTATTCCACTTTCATATTAACAGACAAATAAACATTTTTTATTTACACGAGATTAATTTACTGTATTTGATAGGGGAGAGTGGGGGATTGCAAATATAGGGTAAATATAAATATTATTGTAATCTTTAAAGTAATAATAATCTCTAATTTCTTGCATACACCGGTGATTCGATCGATATATGATACGTTTAATGTCACTCTATACGTCATGATTATAGAACGCATGTTGTTTAAAATAAATATCATGTTTTCAATGTTTTTGCAAGAGAGTATGAGGCAAATGCGAATATCTAAAGAAAATATTGACAATTATTTATTAATTATAGAATTGTGTGTGTGTTATTTATAAATTATATTTATTCAAATATTATTTGGCTCTAAGCTAAAATAATTAACATTCATATATTCTTAATATAAATTATAGTTCTAAACGAAAAATAAACCTAACCGGCATTGCATGTGGTGGATAAAAATAATAAGACTGATGGCATTTGGAATAAAATCTAAGAAAAAAACAGACGCGAACAAAGAGACTTCTTCGGTTATTACTTATTCTGTAACGTAAAAAGAATACCCGAACAATGGTCCTTTTTGCGCGTTTACTTTTCGTTTACGCGCTTTTGAGCGTCTCTACATTTTTCAACGTTTTCACGTCTTACAGGTGCGCATTAAATGCCATAGGGCTGTTCACGTCGAAATATTCGTGAGTGCAACTGTGTTTCACTATGCAACGGCTGACTATCAAACGAGTTTGCTACTGAAAGGCTAACTTTACCCCCGTCGTCGGACTATAAAGTACCCTATCTACTGCGAGACTACTGCGAGATATAGATCCTTGCCAGAAATTCAAATTTCCGATGCTGCACTGTCGCTCGTAATCTCGATTAAAGAGCCAGGGTGTCTCAACCTTACCTACCTACCCATCACTTTCATCGACTTTGAAATGTATTATATTTTTTACAAGTTTAAGTAAACTGCTTTAATAAACATTAATAAGAAAGAATAATTTTCAAAGGAGCATTTCCTTTTACAATATTTGAACATATATTTAGATATTTCTCTAATATCTTTTCAACACCCTGTATAATACAGACCAAACTACAGATTTCCGCAGTTTGGTCGGGTGAATATAACTAAGCTGTTTCTCATGACTGAGCGATTAAAGCAATTTCGACATGCTCAAGTTGTGATCCGTTACACGCGCAGCGAAATTACGCGGGTGATTCCGACAATAAAGGGTGTAATGATAATCCAATATTGAACATATCCTGCGATAATTTTATTCTAAGTAAAATTTCTGTAAATTATTTTATAAACTGATTTGTTTTATATCACTACATATATTTAGAATAATAATATATTGCGCTCTCTCTCTCTCTCTCTCTCTCTCTCTCTCTCTCTCTCTCTCTCTCTCTCTCTCTCCCCCTCTCTCTCTCTATTACTTTAAAAATGATTTTCGATTTGTTATCATGAATTAGAGCTAAATATTAACTCTCAAGAATGTCAAAAAAAGAAAAGAAAACAGGGCTAATGAGAGTTATTCTCAGTCTGACTTTTGATTTATTCTTAAATTTAATAAACTTCTGAACCGCACGAATTACCACGAGAAGAACTCTCATTATCCCTGTTTTGTTTTTATTTTTAGATAAATTACTTCATCAATCATCAAAAGTAAACTACCCTAACTTCATAAAAAATCGTCAACTCAAAAAGTATGAAGATTGTGAAAGGAAAATGACAAAAATCACATTTCGTTACATTAAGAATATATTCTTTTTGCTAATTTTATTTGATAATAATAAGTTCATAAATTTCTGTCAAATTAAAAAATAGTTTTTCCTTTCTTGTGGAAAATTTAATTTTTTTAAAAACAATGGAAATTAAAAAGGCTACAAGCCTAAACTAAGATGAAAGTTACTCTTTAAAATAAACGAAATGTAAAATACAAAATCATTAACGTTTATATATTAATAATAAAATACAAATCACAAACGTTTCTACCCTTATCATCCTCAGTGTATACAAAATTTAAACGTAAGTACGGTTAACAATAAAATTAGAATATAATATACGAAGTCTTAATTTAAAGTTTGAATGTCTGACGCAATAATTTCACAAGGAAAAAACTCTCAATTTTAGTGAGAGTACTTCTTGTTATTTTTAATGGTTCTACCTTAAAGGTATGTCTCAACAAAAAATAAGTTTTTTATGTATAAATGATACAAACGAAATTACATATTTTTCTTATTTCTATCCACTTTTGAAAATGGATAGGTAAAAGAAGAAAGAGGAAAAAGATAGTACTAGTTTGATATATAAATTCATATTATTACAGGATAACAAGATGAACTTTTTCATCCTTGTGAAATTATTGCGTCAGACATTCAAACTTTAAATTAAGACTTCGTATATTATATTCTAATTTTATTGTTAACTGTACTTACGTTTAAATTTTGTATACACTGAGGATGACCTAATAAGGATGGAAACATTTGTGATTTTGTAATTTACATTTTGTTTATATTAAAGAGCAACTTTCATCTTAGCTTAGACTTGTAGCCTTTTTAATTTTCATTGTTTTTGAAAAATTGAGTCTCATTATTGTAAATAGTTTTAATTTTTTTACTTGTGCCAATTTGATTTAATTATATCTTACTTTTCAAAATATGCATACAGTTTGCAATGAATATATAAGTCTACTCTAAACTTTATTTAATTGAGATTTGAGATTAAAATATATAACGTTCTCTTTTTATAAAATAGCAGTTGGTGAAACTTGAGACCGGCGAATTTATATGATCCATTATTTTCACCAAAATTATTCTACGTGCTCTTACCCTCGTCGCGCTATAAAGAGCAAACAACTTTTCTAATAAACTCGATTGCCGGCCGACACGCCAAGCGTTATGTCGCACGTTACAAGCTGAGCCGACAGCAGCAACAGTATCGCCTTAATGCCTGCGGTTGCTCTGACAGCGTGCTGGAAATTGAAACACTGCACACGAGCAATGCTCACCCGCTCCTGCTGCGATCCCACGCCGATAACGCGCTCTATAAATCTCGCCTCTACTACACCGCCGTTCACCAAAAGTTTTACGATCGAGATAAACTGCTCGCACATCCCACTCACTCGATTCACGCCGCGTGAATACGAAGAAAATTCGAAGAACAGAACCACGAAGTCGCGGACGAATGTTAACCACGCGGTGCAATCTGCAAGATAACTTCTGCTCCTGTTTTCGTTTGCTTTGCAAAAAGTAAAAGAGTATTTTGTGACCGGTAAAATTAATACAACAATATTTGAATCTTTCTCAGAGCTCAACAATATTTTTCAACCTCAAAATTATAATTAATTATAAAAAATGCTCTTATTTTTAATAATTCTGATCTGTTTTCATTTTTCTAAATTCAAAATAATGATATAAATAATCTATAGATATTATACAATAAATTATAACATATTTTCTCTCTCATTTGATTTCAAATTTATGACAATAATTTTTTGAGACCCTGAAGAATTATTTTAATCACATCCCGACCGACGTTGTCTTGTTTTCGGATCCATAATTTGCGTGACTCAAATTTAATATATGTTTGAATAAATTTAATTTATATCTAATAATAATATTTTTCTACCGTTTCACGTAAAGCTCTAATAATTTACAGGAAAATAACTTTATTTAAATACTGCATGTTTAACGTTCGCGCAAGTATTAATGTAGCGAAAGAGAATGACTTACCGTACATCTGCTGAATCCCGTGGCGATCGTCCTCCGGAAGCTCGTAGTTGGGGCTTAGTCCTTGGTACCAGGGATACATGAGAGCACCTTGGACCGAGCTGTGAGCCAATCCCAGGGAATGGCCGAATTCATGAGCGGCCACTGCGAACAGACTAGTGCCTGAAAGAAATACAAAAAACATTCAAGACCGTTCGCGTCTTATCTGTACAATACATCTTGCGTCAATTGTAATACTTGCTCGTGAAAGACAAGAGTCATACACAGAGATTTGCAAGAATCACAATATATTATATCTAGGCAAATATTTTGCGGAGGCAAAAACGAAATTGTTACGAAATGATTATAACATTAACATATTATGTCAATGTAATTTTCGTATAATAAAAATTAATAATTACTTTTTTCGTCTTTTTATTTAAAATCTATGAGAAAGTATTTATCACAAGTTGAAAATCAACTTGGAAGTCACAATGGAGATGCATTATTTCAAAATCAACTTCTACATAATGTCTTTTGATAAAAGTGCTCAAAGTAGTTTTATCTTTGATGATACCTTCATCCTTATTTTCTTTACCATCTCCAAAGACACCAAGTCATGGTAGAGAAAAGCGTATCGAAACTTTTTCATGTTCACATGCCGAGTTTTCCGGGCAATTGCATCGGGAATTGCCACCGCCGCCGTCACCACCGCCGCGGAATCTCCGCCTTCATTTCGTTTCGTTTCGTTTCGCTCTGATTCGATTCCAACCCGCATCGAGGAACTACTTTTCCAGATATGGGTTAGGATCGTAAAGCGATCGTCGATTCGAGGGGAGTTGCTGTCACCGGAAAAATTGATAGTATAGCGAATCGTTGCTTGCATTGCCGAGAAAAATCGACGGTATCTTGTTGCTAAGAAACTTCAGCAAGAAATCTCCAACTACCAATTTTTTAAAAATTCGGCCATTATACGAATTGCTTATAAACTCGTTTTATTGCGAAAAGGAATATCTCTAAAAGATTATAAAATATTTATATAAAAAAATATTTAAACTTTTATATATATACATACATATATACCTATATTATGATGCTATAAAGAATTATATATATGTATATATATATTTGAAAGTTTAACAAAAATTTAAAATTTATTAAAGTACATATTTGTACTTTGTTGCTACACAAATAAATCCAAGAGTAATAAAAATTTATAATATTTCCCTTAATAATTTTTCCATAAAGGTTTTGATGCAATTGTTGCAAATCTAGTTCAAATCGTACTTCTGAGATATCATTATTCGTTTAAGCGTAGTATGGACATAAAACCTCGTTGATGACATAAAGCGATAAAATAAAATGTATATAGCATGAATAAAGGTGTTTGCGAATTACTGAGGATACTTATCGCGATTTCCTGTTTTATCGTGCAAGCTTTTGAAGCGATAAAACCAGGTTACGATCGCTTGAAAAAGCACGCGTTTATCGTTTATCGTCGATCCAACTTACGCACATTACTCTGGAATTCCATCAAGAGCTTTCGCTGAATACCGAAAATATTACTAAGAGGACGAGTATGCATTACATACAACGGGGAAACTTACGTTATATTCCGGAGAGAGATACGGTCTCCTGTTCTCTTCACGTCGCATTCGTCTCTTGCGAATTAAATGAGCAGAAAGACATGACTAAAAGACGGGACAACAAAACTTTTGCGCGTAAAATTCTAATGTGTCAGAAATTATTTAACGTATTTTATATAATGTAATATTATAAAACAAATTAATTGATAAAGGATTGCGAATAAAAGCATTACAAAAGAAACAGGTAAGCATCCTTGCGTATTCTTTATATATAAAAGGAGAAAGATATTTTTATCTCTCTCTCATGAAAAATCTCCTTAACGAAATAAAATGTTTCTATATAAAAAGATCGTCACTTTAATGTTAAAGATGGATGATTCACTTATATTGATTCTGATTATCTTTGACTCTGATTGGCCAGTGAACACTCGTAAACCATTAACCTAAATGATCGTCGCAAGTGGTATCACCCTACAACGCTAACGATTAATAATTCTCGTTAGACAAACGCAATTAATGGCGAAGCAGCCGTCGCTGTAAATTAACTTCGTTTGAAGGAGGAAGGGAGGAAGGGAGGAAGAGAGAAAGAGAGAACGAGAGAGAGAGAGAGAGAGAGAGAGAGAGAGAGAGAGAGAGAGAGAGAGAGAGAGAGATGTATGTCCTGGATGGAGAACAAATGTAACCGATTTGCGAGTGACATCCACAACCGCAGTTATGTCAGTTATGAATTGCTAATGTTGCGTCACTGACGTCACGTTCGCTCGAGTGAATTCAGTCGTACTTGTCTTCGCAAACTGCGAGAAACTGAGACGAGGTGTGGTTTGCAAATCACGTTGCTGTAATAAAACGTTCCGCTGGAGAAAGTTCGCTCTACGGAGATTATCAACGGTAATCGGATCAAACGTTACACTAATCGTTTCCATCTCGATTTGATTTTATTTTCTCATAATAACGTTTCTTTCCTTCTTCGCGAGTACTTTAATTATCTTATGTAAATATTTCGATTTTAGTTATAATAATTACAGTGCCTGACAAACATGTATGGATTTTACAGAATTTTTCATGACTCTTGTGAATTTCACGAATTTTGAACTTTATGGAGACAAAAAGAGAGCGAGCGGAAGAGAGAGAGAGAGAGAGAGAGAGAGAGAGAGAGAGAGAGAGAGAGAGAGAGAGAGAGAGAAGAGAGAGACAGAGAAGAGCGAAGGGAATGCAAGCAAAAAACGAAATTGCAGGGAGCTTAATTTCTTTTAGTAAAACTCGCGCATGCTTCGAGATTTTAATTCCTTTGCTCCGAAATATCCGTTTTACGCGGCCGTCGGAGCTGTAATTCTTTTAACCGTAGTACATCGATACCGCAAAAGGTTTCCCTTAGTTCAACCAACGAAAAAGCCAACTCCCAGTAACTATCTTATCGAAATCAAACTCGCCGTTTAGCAAAATCTTGTATACGTGCCAGAACTATCATTTCCTGTTGAATCCTTCTTCCATGTTTTTAAATTATCTATTTATTTTCTTCTCAGCTAAAAATTTGAATTTTTCATTTTGCATAACTGTAATAATAAGTCTTTAATATTCGACCTTTAAAGAATTTCTATAAGCAAAATCGAAGTTCAGTTAAAAAACACAAGACTAATTACTTAATTGACTGAAGAATTTAAATAATGTATTGTATATGTATATAAAAATATTATTTTTGGCTGTTTGTTTGTATAAACATTTACTATTTATATTATATAGAAATTAAAAAAAAAACATATTCCTTTCTCTCTTTCGTTAAATATTTTTATCCATTCTCAACGTTCGAACAAACTAATTATATCGAAACAACGTCATAATATTTCGTTGTTAATTTACCTCGCCGAAATTAACTGAGAGCGCATACAGTAGTTGATAATGGCAAAAAGTGAGGAGAGAGAACTCCTGTGGCGGTGTCACAGTAACGTACGGTCATAATTATGCTAATGTGCACTATGAATGCGGCCGGCTGCGCCAGAGACTAAGTCGGCGCAATATTAACGACGCCAATCGAGATGCGAGCGTTGGGAAATCGGGCCCAAATAATAATCTACCACGTAATCGCACCAAAGCTCGCTCAACTTCTGATAGCGGAACAATAGTCCAATTAATTAGTATGGTTAATTAATAGTTAGGACGTGACGGTGATTAAATCAACCTCCCCTTACGAGACGAGAAAATTAGTCGCGGCTTTGCGAAGTGTTAAGAACCGCGCTTGCAAGACGCAGAGAGGATTACAGGAAGGGCGGACGTGCCGTTATCACCGCCGGCGATAAGGCCAACGATGTTGTTATTAAGAGTTTCGATTAAAGTTTCGCTGAGAGAAAATTCTCCTACTCGTAGCCACGAGAGCACGTAAAATGAACTTTAACCGCGTTAAGCGCTTAACACGCAAGTTAACGCGAGAGTTTCAAGTGTCCAACCAAAAGAATCTCCGTTAACGAGGAAAAAAATTTGCGTTTAGATAAAGCTTTGAACTTTTCAATTAAAAACGCTTTTCGGTTCTTCTTTATAATGTCGAGGAAATACGCTTCTCAGTCATATTTCTATTCAATCTCTGCTATCTCTGTTTCTGAAGCGTTTTCCGCTTTTTCTACCGCCAATCTCTTCGTAGTTAAAATTTTGTCAAAATTCCTCCGTGATTTCATAAAAATTTCGTTCGCTTGAAATTAATTATAATAAAGAAGTAAAACTCTAATTACAAATACACATTGTCATTTACTATTTTTTTTTTTTTTTAGAAAAAATTCAATATTGTTTAAGCAATAAGTTGAAATGCAAAATTATGAAAATTATGAACTTGAGAGCTACATTCTTATGAATCACGCTTTTGTAAATTACGAAAGTCGGGAAGGTTCTTAAGACTTCTCATTCTTCGTTGCAACCAACTTCTCGCGTTGCAGCAGTTTTATTTTTACTAAAGCGGATTTGCTCGAGCAAATTAGTTCTTGTCGGGGGAAAAAGCTGCTACTTCGAATTGTATTCCACGACGTTCATTCTCCGTTGCTTGAAATCTCCGGGTAGAGAGTATGGTGCGCGAAGAAAGTGCGGAAACGTATTATGCAGAAACGTTACAACGATGACGATAGAAACGTTCACGACGACAGAAACGAGATGACAGACTTTTGTTGCAGGCAGCGCTCGATTTGCACAGGGATGAGCTTATCGACCGAAATACTTCACGCCATCTTTCCCGTCACGATAAATTGTCAACCGCTGTATACAAATCGTCTCTAATTATTCTGTACTAACTACTCTTCCCGATAATAAATCAACGGAATAAAACTTATTCAGCGAAAATGAGAAATAATTAAATGGTTGCCGAGAACGAAAGTTCCATTTTAAAACGGAACAATAAATCGAACTCTTTAAAGTCCTGTGTTAATTAATTAATACGTAGGGATTATAAAATCTGACATGTGTAATTTTTTTCCTAGATAAAGAAAATTGTCAAATCAAAATTAATCAATATTTGTGATGAAAGATATCCATAAAAAAATAATAATTCTTTTAATATAATTTTGTAATATATCTGTAATATATACCTATAATATATAAAATATATATAAAAAATCGCAATAAAATATAATTCATTAAAAAAATAACTTCTAATAACACTATTAATATTTTACAGCTGTGTACAATGTACATAATATATCTATGGTATATTAATAAATATCATGCATATTAAATACAATATATTAGCTATTGAAAGATAGAAACACCGCATTGTAAGCGAGTAATTGCAAATATCAGCAGGATATGCTATGAGGGATGTGTAATCAAATGCACAACGTTGTAACACGTAAACGAGGAGACAGTCGGCAGCTTTAACTATTGCGCTATGGTACGTCGCTTGGCTAACTGTTGCAATTACGAGGTCGTAATCATGGAGTGATTCACGCTGCGAATTACGCAATTAAGCAATCTTGATGGAAGCACGAGGGACATAGTGGATGGATCCTCGCAACTTGCGTCGAGAAATCGGTTCTCTCTCTCTCTCTCTCTCTCTCTCTCTCTCTCTCTCTCTCTCTCTCTC